CACACACACACACACACACACACACACACACATGCGCACTCACAGAGGGCAGCTGGAGGTTGATGTGGATTTTCTGCTGCAGTTCATCACACTATTCCATTTCTCATTGTGGAAACACAAAGCCGGAGCGTTTATCAGGGCCGGACACGGCAGATGAGCATTTATTTGTGTCATTGTTCGCTGAGCGAATCTGTCATTTAACACAGTTTGGAGGGAAATTAAATGTTTTATTTTGGAATTGTTTTTTATGGAGAAAACTGCTTATCAGTTCATTATGAATGTGTAATGCTGCTGTAGATGCTGCAAAATCAGCTTCTGTGTCTGGTTTTCCATTAACCCTTTGGGTTAAAAACCACAAATGTCAGCATATCAAAACTTCTGCAGGGCCCCAAAACACCCTCAGACCCCAGGGGGTTAAAATGATTAAAAAAAAAAAATATATATATATATATAATATCTACTTAACACAATATTTTGCACACATATCTTGTTTTGAGGATGTTCAGACAGTGATGAGCGTACCATCGATGGCGGAGAGCAGGACTCTGGAGTGATCGTAGGCGATGACGTTTGCGTATCTGTTCTTTGGTTTGTTGACCTCCAGGTTGGAGTGCTCCCACGTGAACTGCTGACCGGGATCGACCGACTGAGGAGGAAAGAGGAATATGGATGAATGATTGTGTTAATGAGCTCACAATAGCATCAGAGCTAAACACGCTCACACAGACGCGGCTCAGGTTACAGCCGTATGCTAACTGCTGGCTCAGACTCGTCTCACACTAATAATATCCGTCTGAAATAGAAAGACGCGGCTATGATCAGCATTCACCGTCTGTATTAATAGAGCGCGACTGTAACACGTCATCGAGCGAGAGCGCTCAGAAATAAACGCTGCTGCAAACACGCTTCATCGGCAACTGACCTGACTTTCATGAAATTAATCAATGCATATATCATCCATTTATGAGCAAATTAAATAATTAAAAGTCACGATGAATATCTAACAAATTTAAAAACTGAATGAATGAATGAATGGATTTACAGATTAATGAATAAATATACAAACAAATGCATGAATGGATTAACTTCATCCAATGCAAAAATGCAGAAAGAAAGAAAGAAAGAAAGAAAGGTGAATCAATTAATGAATAATGAATAGATAAAATGCACTGAAAATAATAAAGGGATGATTGAATGAATGAATGAATGAACACATCAGTGAATAAATGTACAAATTAAAAGTATGACTGGAGTAACTATGTACAAAATAATAAATAAAATAAATGCATGCAACACTTTAATGGATGAATGAATGAATGAATGAATGAAAGCATATATAATCCATTTATAGATGAGTGACTTAAAAATGGATGGATAATGAACAAATGAATGAATGAAATGAACAGACAAAAATAAAGGAATCGACAAGTGAATCAATAAATGAATGAATAATGACAAAAAGTACATGAAAAGCTCATGAATGAACTAACTAATAGAAAAATATTAATGAAAGAAAGAAAGAAAGAAAGAAAGAAAGAAAGGTGAATTAATAATGAATAGAAAGCATGGGCTGACAAAATATAAAGGGATCATGGAGTGAGTGAATGAATGAATGAATGACACATATGATGCGCGTGATCTTCCTGCCGTTAACGTTCTTCTTTTGATTTCTTCAGGAAGTCAGACGATTGAAGCTTTCAGCGCTGAGCTTCTTAAAAACAGGTGTGGGCCTGAAAGAGAGCAGGACGAGTCTGCCAGTGAAAGAGCTTTTGTGCTCAATATGACCTCAGCGTCAGTCTTATGTGCCGTTTGCAATTTTTCCCATTTACTTTAATAATGAAATTATTCAGTCTCCGCAGTGTCTTTTCAAAATGAAAAGATGATACGCATCTGCCTGCGAGCCCAGCTCTCCGCGTTGACAAATTTCAAATTACAGTTTTCAGAGGAGCGTTGAATGAATGAAAATTGGTCCCGTAAGCGAAGAGGGGAAAGTAATGTCTTCATGCCTTGAATAGATTTTAAAGGATCACGCAGAGATGTGCTCCCTTTCAAACGGCGCTTTTGTCCACTGATGTGCCCTTTCAAACGAGAGCAGACGACTGCAAACAAATCACAGCCCCACTTTGACAAATTACACTCAGAAATAGCAAAACGATAAACGCTGTGAGACTGTCAACAGCCAAAGCACATATTTCACATTCGACACGTATAGCTGCGAGGAGAGACGAGGAGACGCTGCTGTTTTAGCTGTAAAGCACTGGCGCTTGTTTGCGTAACTCTACAATAAGCAAACGGGCCTCGATATGAAGAACCATAAATTGACAGTGGTGGTATTTTTCTGTCAGGGCGAGTCGCCGCGCCGCGCCATAAAGCTTCACTAAAGATGACAAATCTCCAGCTAAGCTGCATCATTCTGCCCAAATCTGTTGGAATATGGCTCGTGAACTCGCCCGCTTCATTGTGCTGCTGAAATGACTTTCTGTGCCCATGCAAACGTGCCCCAGAACGACAATCCCGTGTGCTTGAGCTCAGGCCTGGCAGGCGTTTTGGCGGAGCTCCACGTCTGACCTCATGCTCAGGAACCGCAGGCCAGGGGCCCAACGGCAGAGTCTCACGGCTCAAAACACATCACCAAACCGACTCGTGTTTTGCCCTGTGATCTCGCTGGCTGAGATAAGGAGATTACATCCAGAAACATCCTCCCTGACCTTTCCTACGCCGGCGCGGTAACTGACAGCCGTCAGGCGGCGGGAGATACGGCGGGAAAGCTGCACTGTTAGCACGACTGATACGATCGCGTTTGTGAACGGCAAACGTTCATCAGGTCAGACACACCGAGCGACCGCTTGAACAGCGGTCCGTCTGAACACATGTGCATAAGCTTACCGGGACGTTGCTATGCGGTTACCAGGGTGATTGTTTTTAAATCAGTTTGAGTAACAGTCATAGTGATGCTTGACTTCCAGTAATAATGTTGAAAAACATTCATGTTCATTTTAAACCTTTTCAAATTTAAATAGTTTCCAAAAGAATAGAAAACCTGAAAAGAACGAAAGTTGTGTTGTTTGTTTAAGATTAAAAAAACAAACAAAAAAACACCTTTCATATTTAAATCCCAGGTTTCAATTTGAGTCACATAAAATCATTGAAATTTTCAGGAGTGAAAATTGCATTTAAATGCGGTAGTGAATCCACTAAATGATCATTGTGTGTGTATGGACCATAATTCACTCTCGAAATTGCAATGACTGACATTATGGTAAGCATAGCAACATTCTGGCATCCTCTATTTTTGTCGTATTATTTGTCATACTATATTCTGTCATTTTAGTAATATTATAAGACTTGGGGTCAGATTTACTATCAGCTTGCGCCAGCGCAAACCCTCATTTGGCGTTAAAAACTGTCAGGATTTACACGCAGTGGGAAATTAGTGCTGAAAATGTGTGGACATTATTGAATATGCATTTGTAGGAGTTTCCCTTTCGATCGGTAAATTTACGGGAGGAGAGTATTTCAATAACTCACGCGATTTACTAAGATTTACGCTCGTCAATTTACTGGTATTTGTGGCATTATTTAACACCTGAAAAAGCATGTCTTGAAGGCGGTAATTTGCGCAGCTCTTGGTAGATTGCGCTGGTCATTATGGAAATGAGATGTTGCATCTGTGTTCTTTAATCTGCACATTGTCAGTAAATCATCCACAGAATTTTCCCTCCCACTGGCATTTATATGTAATTGCGCTCTAACGCTAATTTGCCCTGTTTAGTAAATCTGGCCCTTGTTATGTTTAGCGATTTTAACAAAACCATCATCAACAGAACTGTCTTGTTTATGTTTGTAAGGCTGCTTTGCCGAGCATGCTCTTAAAAGGTTGCCATGTCCACTTATTATAAACAACATTTATTAAGCATTTTTGTGCTTGTTGTTTTGCTCAGCTCATAAAGCGATCCAGCTGATGGAGTTAATAAAATAGGCAGGAGCAGGTCATGATATTTGGGTATATGTCTTATTTCCAAGATAAAGTGTTTGGATTTAAGTTTATTATGGGCTTGTTCTTATTTGCCGTTTTCTAGAAAGACCTGGCAACATTTATGAGATAAGATGTACCTCCTTCCCTGTGATTTCTTGCACTGCGCATACAGAAGAGAGACTCAACTCTGATACATATTTAAATATGGAGCTGACCAATAAGAACTCTCTGCACTATTTCTAGGTGACTAACGAAATATAAATAAGTGACACTGATCATGTGACACAAGATACTCTCTGGATCATCTCAAACCATGCTGGAGAAGTTGATCACCAACAAACCAAATACTTGGCAAATTCATGATAATTTTAAACCTTTCACTCAAATTGTTATGCTGACGATATGATTTGTATTTATATAAGAACATTGCAAAACATGCATTTAAACCAGTGGTTCTCAACCAGGGGGCCTCAGCATACATCCGAGGGGCACACAAAATGGCTTAAAATCATTTAAAATAAAACAAGTCTTAAAATAAACTAAACAGCTAAAAACACAACCTAGCATCATGTTTCTTAATATAACCAGTACCTTTAACAACTGCCATTTTTATTTAAGAATTAGTGTTATAGAATATCTTATTTAGTAGAAATTGCAATTTGTAAGTAAAAGACAACTGTAATCAAACCAGCTTTTTCATGCAGAAAGTAGTGAAATGGCTGAACATTACCTCATACTCCTGCGAAAACTTCAAGTTGTCGTTTGCTTTCAGGCGTTCGATGTGATCGGCCAGCTCCATGACTGGGATGGGAGGGTGACTGGCCATCCCTGCAGACAGGAGACAAACAAAGAGTCCCGGGGTTAGCGCTAGCACACCAGAGCCTGCGCCGAGAGATGGGCATCACAGAGGATGAAGGATGTGAGGTTTGTTCGGCCTGTATGATTGAACGAAGCAGCCACATGCTCGGAGAGAATGGACACAGAAGCCGCACAGAGCATTCCTAATGAAGAGAGGAATGTTATTCGTCCGCAAGCGTTAACATGGTGGAAAGATGGAGTAGAGTAGAACTTTAGGGGCTGGATATTAAAGTTTGAGCTGGCGATGAGTCTAAAGGATGCGACATATCAAACCCCGCCTCCTGCGCTGGCGTGAGGCAAAGCGGCGTGAGGAGATGAACGCAGTCCAGAGAGGAAGTGAAGGAAATGAACAGACACAGTGGCATATGTAGAAACAAGAACGACTAACTTGACAAATGGAGGTTACTGGGGTAAACCGATGTGGCTGAACCTGCGAAGGAAAAGGGGACGGGGATAAATCATACTAGCTGACGTTAAAACAAGCAAATGTGGTGATCGGTCTCTATCAGAACTAAAAAAGAGGCAGTAGAAACACAGTCTGAAATGACAGTCGCAAACCACGCTACGACTCCATCTCTACGTTTATTTGTTAGTAAAAACAGTCACACATGCTAACGGCTAACGGACGACAAACATGCGGAAATGAGGATAACACGTTCTGAAGGGAAACCAAGAAGAAAAAAAAAGACACACAAATGTAACAAGGACAGAGAAGATGGCATGCACGTTTATCATGCGCATGTTTGTCTGTTCTCTAAGGGCTTCGACTGTGAGATTCGCAAAGAAGGCGCGTGTCTGCGAGAGAGTTTGTGTTTGCACTGCAGAGGATGCTTTTGAATAGTTGAATACTGATAACCGGTTTGCATAACAACAGCCTGCGTGCCGCAGAAAAAGAGGCCGTACGCTTGAACGAGGTGCTGCGGCTCTTTCATCTCTGGGCTGATAGAAGAGGGCATTAGCTAATGGAGGCAGCAGGAGAGAGCTGCCATCCACCGCCTCTCAAGACCCATTACCAGCCGCGGTGACAATGAAACTGCCATTCGGAGAAACGCATCGGAGCGACATCAAGCACCCTCAAGATGAAAATTGAGATGGGGAGGAGGGGGGAGTGACTGCACGACGGCATCAAGGGTTTGGAGAGAGGAGGGCTAATGCAGAGGCCGTTCCTGCTGAAGAGAGGGATCTTCAGCTGTCGAGAGCTGCGTTCGGGCTGCCTGAAGGGAAAATGGAGGATGCAAAGCTTCTCTAAGAGGCTGTTTGGGAAAGAGGGGCATGAGTGCGCTAATAAAGAGCCGCCGAGAGGATTGAGTGCATGGAACATCGCTCTCGAAACCATGTTGCAATGCAAACTCGACACGTGAATGTGAACCCTGCAACATTTGAGTCGTAGGCGAATATCAAAACGAATGGCACTGCTGCGTAAGGATGGGAATCGAGTTCAACGGCAACATTTACAATTCTTTGGGCACTTGAGGAATGGTTCAAGAAGAAAACCAAGCCTGAACCAGCCTGAGGTGGTTTGACTGGGCTCACTTTAGTTAGTCTCCCAGGCTGACCTCTTGACGAGCGCCCAAAACCACTAAATAGTGTACTATTTAGTCTTGACTCATGCAAACCGGGCTAGTGGCCTGGTAAGACCAGCTAACCACCTTAGGATGGTTTGAGCTGTTTTTCTTCTGTTAGGTAAACAGGTCTTCATCAGTTCACACGTCCCAAATTCCGTGGTCAAGCTTGCCTGCTTTCAAACACAACGGAAAGCCTAAACTTGATCCCCCAACAAAATATACAACAACCAGTGGAGCTTTAAAGGTTCTGGTTGGCAACAAATGTCACTGTGAGCTTTTATGAATTGTGTTGTGTGGGAAGTGAGCTTTTGGGTTTGGCGGGTTGGCCTCTCAGTATGACTGGTGCCCCAATCCCCTTTAAAGCCATCAAAACAGACCAGCCTAACCAGTGAAAACCAGGGGACAGATGCATAAACGTAGCCACTACGTTAAGACCGAGTGTTAAGAACTAGTCTGAACAGAAGTCAAGAGTAATCAGTCTTACTTTCAGGATTCAAACTTGTACTGCTAGACTAAACAGTTTATGCAACCAGCCGCAGCTTGGTAGCAAAAGCTGGTCTGAGCCACTTTTATCAGAAAGGTGAAGAGTTTCCCTCCAGTCCATCTGTCTTGCTCTTGCAGTCCAGGTGTTTCTGACAGACAGACAGATGGACTCAGGTTCAATGTGTTTAGAGCTGGTCTCGCTGGCACTCAGGTTCTCCTCTGAGAAACTAATGGAGCAACTGTTGTCACCGCTATTCTGCCCCTCAGAAAATAAATCTATAGGTCTTCACGGCTGGCCGCTCTAGAACCGAGCGCACTTCACCTTGTTCACCAAGGTCAGGAGGGAGCAGCCGTTCACCACTCGACAATTCCCACATTCCTCTGCGACTCGTTCACACTCCGCTGCTTTCAAACACAACGGCCCACCTACGTGTGTGTGTGTGTGTGCGTCTGAATATACAATCACCAGCAGAGGTTTTGAGAGCCACTGGCTTGAATATATATCTCCATAGTTTTCTTCAGCTGGCTTTGGTTGGCCACAGTCCTCGCTGTGTTTCTGAATGACACAGAGGTGTCAACAAGCTGACCAATGCAACACCAACATGTTCCCGAATCTATTAGATGCCTTGTTGTCTACATAGGCAGCATCTTAAATAGATCCTCTTGAGTCACTGATTTGACGTATTCCACACAGGCAGCGCCACACAATTTGATAGACCTTGTAATCGACATTTCTCTTGCTTACGGATGACATATTTACTGAGTTTGTCACAAGGCATTCTGCGATTGCCTCTGTGAAGGCTGTAATGCTGCCAAAACATTTGGCCTAAATTAAACATTTTGTAAAGCAACACAATGTTGCTGAATGGATTTTGAGGAGCCTTCAAGTCTGGAGTGCACCTATGAATGCTGTCTTCGTAGGCAGCTCACTAGGCTTTGGAACTTCTAGACCAGTGTTTCCCAATTCTGATCCCAGAGTTCCCCCAATAATGCACATTTTGTACATCTCTCTAATCAAACACATCACATTCAACTCATCAGCTTGTTACTAGAGACCCTTATAGGGTTAGTTCACCCAAAAATGAAAATTAGCCCATAAATTACTCACCCTCAAGTCATCCTAGGTGTATATGACTTTCTTATTTCAGACGAATCCTGTCGGGGTTATATAAAAAATTGTCTTTGATTTTTCAAGCCGTTTAATGGCACTCAGCGGATGTTGCATGCATCAGTCCAAAAGAAGTGAAATAAAAAGCGCCCATCCATTAAAAAAAAAAGTGTCTCACACGACTCCGGGGGGGGAACAAAGGCCTCCTGTAGCAAATCGATGTGTTTTTGTAAGAAAAATGTCAATATTCAAAATGCAATAATCACTTTAATCTAGCTTGCGCTCACTGTTGTACACGGAAGCAGCTCCGGGCGGATGACGTATTATTACCTTTTGAATATGGATATTTTTCTTACAAAAACGCAGTGATTCACTACAGAAGACCTTTGTTCACCCCCCGGAGCCATGTGAGACACTTTTTTTTAATGGATGGGCGCTTTTTATTTCACTTCTTTTGGACTGATGCATGCAACACCCGCTGAGTGGCATTAAACAGCTTGAAAGATCAAAGATAATTTTTAATATAACTCTAACTGATTCGTCTGAAAGAAGAAAGTCATATACACCTAGGATGACTTCAGGGTGAGTAATTTATGGTCTAATATTCATTTTTGGGTGAACTAACCCTTTAAAGTTGGGCATGTCAAATAAGGGAGACATCCAACATATGCACTGTTGAGGGCACCAGGGTTGGGAAGCACTGCTCGAGACTTCTCACGTTCCTCACGATTCAAGCATAGAATCTAGTCCTTCACGAATCTTCACTTCATTGAAAAAGAGTTGGAATCAAAATATTTTGAAGTTTCCTAGGACACCCTGTTTCAGACTCAAGGAGTTGGCTGATGGTTTGTGTTTGATGGTGAAGGTGAGGAGGATGGCGGTCGGCCGCACTTACCGGGAGTCTGGAAGTTCAGACGGCGTAACTCCACAGGGTCTGTGGGGTGATGGGAGGGCATTTCTTTACCGCTGGGCAGACTGCCTTTCCTGGCCTCTGACTCCGCCCTTTTCCTGAAAGAAATGCATCATATACTTCAGGACAAAACTGTGTTTGGACTATCAGAGCAGCACTGCAAGAGGTCAAGCAAACACGCTCGTGATGGGCATTCAAATGTGACGCGTCCTGGCGTTCTGTGAGCCGTGACCACTGCGTGTGTCTCAGGTACAGCTCTTCTGCATGCTCTCACCTGTCTGGTTGACTGCTCCAGTGGAAGCGGCAGGAGGGGAGAACAGAGAGTTAGTACGCAAGACAAATACAGATGTCCTCATCACAACTGCTGATATACAGAGTGGCTTTGCATTTGTTAGTTTTCGTCTGATCCGTTGTTTTAAAACACATCCACTGCACCACTGCTCCTAACTATATTTAGTGTGACATAACATACTCAAGGCTTTATCTCACAGTCTTGTTTTTCTCCAGTAATTTAGTTTTTATATATATATATATATATACACAGTGGATACGGAAAGTATTCAGACCCCCTTAAATTTTTCACTCTTTGTTATATTGCAGCCATTTGCTAAAATCATTTAAGTTAATTTTTTTTCCTCATTAATGTACACACAGCACCCCATATTGACAGAAAAACACAGAATCGTTGACATTTTTGCAGATTTATT